AATTACTCTGTTTTTTTGTGCTCAGGAACAATTTATCTATTTTTGCTCGTCTTGTTATCATTTACCCATTCATCTTCATAATGTGGATCATGATTATTTAGAGTATGTCCAGTATTTATGGCTTATTAATCTTGTCGTGTTAATCTATTCCCCTTTTTTATATTTATCATTAATATCTCTTTCATTCATACTTATGAGAAAAACTGATAGGCCTTTTAGAATTTTGTGATAGCACGATGAGTTTTGTATATATGATAACTATAATTGAAAAAATTATAACTAAAACTCAAAAACGATTAACTAATTCACACAAATTTTTGTATAAAAGGATTGATACAACTTTTCATAGACATATTTATAAAATTATTAACTGAAAGATAGAAAAAGTGGGGGAAATATGTAACGCCCCACTTTATTTTAAAGGATTTATCGAATTTATTTAATAAAAATCACAATAAATTTTTCGCAAACTTTAATTTAATTAAATACTCAGTGGGCGCTACTCAAATTTACCATAAGCCTTTAACCAAAAATGCAAACGTATCAAATAAAGACAACATGCACGAATAATAAATCATAAACCAAACTGGCATTCATTAAGTTCCAAATCATAAAGATAATTCACAATTCCAAGTTCGAAACGGCACAGTCATAATATCTCAACATAAATGAGCGGAAGCAAATAAATAAGCGATAAATAAAAGCATGACCACCACCCGTCTTGTCTCGTCACCCGCCGACTGCTTAACCTGCATCAGTTACGAGCAGGTGGGAGTGAGTACAGTTAACTATCGTACTCACACTATGCATATGAATAACATAATAATGGTATGGTCGCAGCATGAACATAAACAATAAAATCATGTCACATCTCTAGCCACATCAATGACTATAGTCTCATCAAAGACTCACTTATGTACATCTATGCTCATCAAAGCTAAGCCATGCCATATCAGTGAAACATGGGAGTGCGTGTCACATCAATGACACGGCTTTCTCATAGGTCTTAATGAGATTTACCTCACAGGGTAACCGTATCTTATCATACGGGGACAACCGTATCGACAGCCATCAAGCTCACATCGATAGGCTACATGTTCATTTTCATACATAGATCACACCAAACTTCCATCACAATTTAAATCACACATATGCATAGATAATTTTAGAATAGTCCACCTGGATTCCGGATTGATAATAACCCAAAGCAATTGGTAGTAGGTCGAGGCTGGACTCCTCAATTACCTACATTGAGTCAAGATGCTACAATCAACATATATCTTGACTTTAAACGGAAAACACAAAACAGACTTAGTCGAACTTGTTTCGACTAAGTAGTTCGTGAAGTCCTGTGGATGTTGGAACACTAAGACTCGGCACTAAACCCGACCAAACCACATATGGGAGTTCACATAAATCCATCTAAGGATTGACCAAGTCAAACTCACATCAAAACGAAAAGCAAGTCGATTCCCAAAATTTCATAAAAAAAATCATGTTCGGAAATAGAAATCATTTAATCGCATAAAATTAGAAGGTCAAGCTACCCTACGAATTAAGCTCTGAAACTTTATAAAAACTTTTAAATCCCAGAAACATGAAAAATCACAAAGTTTCAGATTTAACAAGCTATTTTTAAAAATTCGAACATCAAAACAGCGATTAACAAGCTCGACAACTTGACAATTAAATCACAACACACAATTTATCGTCTGAGGCCTTTTCATAAGACCAAGGACTCGACATTGTTCCATTATCCACCGACTTACACGACTTTTGAGGTCTCGTTCGATTTTCGAGAAAATTGAAGAGATCCCGAACATACGAATACAATAATCACAACAATTCATATATTTGCACATATTCAACAATAAATTCACATTGCATAAATATAACACGAGTACAACATGAATGTGAACAATTCAACGAGCATATATGAATTAAACGAGACGGAAAAACGACGAGGTACCGTTCTCGGGAATCGAACGAGAATGGGTTCGAACGGGCTCGACGGTTAACTCGTCTCGCCGGAAAAAGGAAGGCTCGACGTGCACGGAAGGAGGAGGCTTGCTGCTGGTTCGCTGGTTCGCCGGGAACGGAACGGAAGGGTCGCCGGACTGGTTCGAGGTTGCCGGAAAAAGCTCCAAAGATGATGACGCACGAACTTTACGACGAGGGTGATGAGACGAGCGCGCGATGAGGATGATGAGCGATGGTGAATAAAATCACAGCGAGGTGATGGGTTGACGATGGTGATGGTGAGAGAAGGAGATGATGATCGATGATGGAAAACGATCGAATTTTTTTTTTTTTTTCTGCGCGTGAACTAGCGAGAGAGATGGGAAAGGGAGACGATCAAAAAGAAACAATAGCTGCGGGATTTTTGATGATCACAAAAAAAAGGAACGTGATGCACATATATATACATATACACTTATACATATTTTAGGTTTAGGAGAGAAAGAGAAAGTCTTGTTGTCCAAGACAACAAAACCACGCCCAAATTCAAAGAAAAGCAAAATCTGTCGGGCCGGGCCCGAGAAATTTGGGCCAATAAGATTTTTGACCGGTTGGGACAACATAATAGCTCACGGGCTCAAATAAAAATTTAAACAGATATATATTCGAGCTCAAAGCGATTCCAACAAAATTATCGGGCTCGACTTCGAATGCAAACGCGCGATAAAAATCAACCGAAAAATAAATATATATATATATATATATATTACATATTATTACATACACATTTATTCATATTAATAATTTAATAAATCACAAAATCAATTAAACAATTAGACATATTTCACAATTAGCATTTAATCACATTTGACAAATAAATAAACATAATGGCATTCAATAAAATGAAATATAAATATTATCACCAATTAATAATAACAATAATAATAGCAATAAAAATAATAATAATAAATTTCAAATAATCCACAAATAAACGAGGCATTACAAAATAGTAAATCATATTTAAAAAAATCTCCTCTTTTAGTTGTTAGTCAAATTGAGTGTAAATTGTTGATTTGATCAACAAATTCCATTTTTCTTCTAACCAAAAATCCACTTTTCTCATCCACACTCCACATTTTCCAAACCATCTCAAAAATTCACAACCAATTGAATAAATTCTCAATTATCATACCAAATCTTCCATCTATAAATAGTGAGTGCTTTGCTAAGGAAAAATGCACCAAAGAAGAGAAGTGAAGGGAAAAGAAGAAAGAAAGGAAAGAGAGGGAAGAAAAAAAAAATAGTGAGAAAAAAAAAATATAGAAAAATTATCATATAGATAATTTTATTTCTTGTTTTTAAGTGCTCAATTCTCGACTTCGATCTAGTTCGCCGGAGCTCGTAAATCTGGTGTGCTACAGATTTAGAGACGTTTGCCGTTGTATCTTTGGGGAAGTTACGCCTGAACCGTTAGCAGCCACACGGGGCGTATTCTTCTTGCGGAAAGAGTTTTACTCGCCACGGCTTTAATCTTTCCGTTTTAAGTTTTAATTTAATTTTTAGTTCAATTGTAATTTTCTATTTTTAGATTATTTGTAAGAACTGAAAAATTTACATATCAGTTCGTAGGATTCTCGTGTATAATTTTGATACCCGATTGATAACAATCGCAAGAAGATTATTGTCATCCTACTGAACTGATGGCATCCACCAGAGAAGGTTCTCAACATCAGCATCCGGTCAACCCAGTTGTTAATAATCCAGTACGAGCTGTTCATGCCCACTGCTGAGAAGCCAGAAAAATTCAACGGGCTTGATTTCAAAAGATGGCAACAAAAGATGCGCTTTTACCAAACCACCTTAGGTTTGGAAAAGTACCTGAAGGACGATCCTCCGGTCATTGATGAAAATGAAACCAATGCTGAACTACGCAATGCGTACGATGCTTGGATGCAAGGTGATTACCTTTGCTGTAAGTATGTCCTAAACGGACTTAGTGACTAGTTGTACAATGTGTACAGCTCGGTTGGATCTGCCAAATAGCTTTGGGCTGCTTTGGAGAAGAAGTACAAGACCGAGGATGCCGGGGCGAAAAAATTCGTCGTCGGTAAATTTCTTGACTTCAAGATGGTCGACTCAAAGACCGTCGTGTCCCAAGTGCAAAAGTTTCAACTTATCTTGCACGATATCCATGCTGAGGGAATGTCTCTGAGCGAGTCATTCCAAGTTGCGGCTGTGATTGAGAAACTGCCACCAGGTTGGAAAGACTTCAAGAACTACCTCAAGCATAAGAGGAAGGAGATGATTCTTGAAGACCTTGTTGTTCGTCTTCGTATTGAGGAGGACAATCGGAATTCATCTGGAAAAGCTCAGATTATGGAGGCTCGTACAAATTTGCTGGAACAAGGCAACTCGAGCAAGAGGAAGTCCCTGGACAAAGGGAAGCAGCCAGGTAAGGTTTGGAAATTTACAGGTACTTGCTACAACTATGGAAAGCCGAACCATATGACGAAAGACTGCAAGAGGCCAAAGAAGGTTGTGCCAAAGAAAGGTAAACCGAGTGCCCTCGTGGCTGAACACGGCCCTGTGCCGGGTGAACTGACCGACTTTGATATGTCGGCTGTGGTGTTTGAAGCCAATTTGGTGGATAACCCAAGGGAGTGGTTCATCGATACTGGTGCCACTCGTCATGTGTGTTCCGATAAGGAGGTATTTTCTGAATACACTCCTGCTAAGGATCGGAAACTACACATGGCAAATTCTGCCACGGCTGATGTGGTTGGAGTAGGCACTGTGGTGCTGAAGCTGACTTTTGAAAAGGAGTTAAAGCTTAAGGATGTTATGCATGTCTCAGACATCCGCAAGAATTTGGTCTCCGGATCTCTTCTTGTTGAACATGGATTTAGGCTTGTGTTTGACGCTAAGAAATTTGTTCTTAGCAAGTTTGGAACATTCCTTGGTCTGGATATATCGACAAGGGTTTGTTCAAAATGAATGTAATGGCTGTGAGCCGTGTAACCGTTGCTAATGAGAATAAAAAGCCTATTTCTGTTTATACAGTTGAGTGCTGTGATTTATGGCATGTTAGATTGAGACATGTAAATCTAAATGCGATTAAACGGTTGATGAATTTAGAATTAATTCCTAATTCTAAAATTGAATCACATAAGAAATGTGAAATATGTGTTGAAGCAAAAATGGCTAAGTTGCCTTTTCACTCGGTGGAAAGGAGTACTGAACCATTAGGCTTAATCCATACTGATGTATGTGATATGAAAAGTGTGCAAACAAGAACCGGTAAAAAGTATTTTGTAACTTTTATCGATGATTGCACAAGGTTTTGCTACTTATATTTGTTAAGAAGCAAAGACGAGGCTGTGGAAGCGTTTAAAATCTATAAGACCGAAGTTGAAAATCAACTCGGCAAGAGGATTAAAATAATCCGAAGTGATAGGGGTGGGGAGTATGTAGCTCCTTTTGAACAAATATGTTCTGAATATGGCATAATTCATCAAACGACGGCCCCCTATTCTCCACAGTCGAACGGTGTTGCTGAACGCAAGAACCGTACTTTAAAAGAAATGATGAATGCCATGTTGATAAATTCAGGATTACCCCAGAACATGTGGGGGGAAGCTGTTTTGACAGCAAATCATATCCTGAATAAAATACCACCTAAAGGGAAAGATAAGACTCCTTACGAATTGTGGAAAAATCGTAAGCCGTCTTATAAATACCTGAAAGTGTGGGGGTGTTTGGCTAAAGTTTCAGTACCTAAACCAAAACCATTGCGAATCGGGCCAAAGATAGTCGATTGTGTATTTATTGGATATGCGTACAATAGTATGGCATATAGATTTCTGGTTCATAAATCAGAAAATCCAGAGGTATCTGTTGGTACCACGATTGAATCAAGGAATGCTATATTCTTTGAGAATGTTTTTCCTATGAAGGAAAGGGCAGAATCTAGTTCTAATAAACGAACGTATGAAACTGCTAGTGGTTCTGTACCAGAGGGTACTGATGAAGAACCAAGACGTAGTGAAAGGGTAAAAACGTTGAAAACGTTTGGACCTGATTTTATTACGTACATGTTGGACAATGAACCGAGTTCCCTTAAGGAAGCTCTGTCCAGACCAGATGGACCACTCTGGGAAGAAGCTGTAAATAGCAAAATCGAGTCCATTATGCAAAACCATACTTGGGAGTTGGTTGATCTCCCTGATGGTTGTAAATCTTTAGGATGTAAATGGATCCTAAAGAAGAAATATAAAGCTGATGGATCGATTGATAAGTTTAAAGCACGATTGGTGGTCAAAGGCTTAAAACAAAAGGAAGGGTATGATTTCTTTGATACATATTCACCAGTTACGCGTTTAGCATCGATAAGAGTGCTTCTCGATATTGCTGCTTTGCACAATCTTGAGATTCACCAAATGGATGTCAAGACGGCATTTTTGAATGGTGAATTGGAAGAAGAAATATACATGGAACAACCTGAAGGGTTTGTTGCACCTGGACAAGAGAGAAAGGTGTGTAGATTGATCAAATCATTGTACGGACTGAAACAAGCTCCGAAACAATGACATTTGAAATTTGATGACGTGATGTTGTCAAATGGTTTCAAAATCAACGAATGTGACAAATGTGTTTATGTCAAGAGTACATCAAATACATTTGTGATTGTATGTCTATATGTAGACGATATGTTGATCATGGGGAGTAGCCATGAAGTGATCATGGATACGAAAGGGATGTTGAAAAGAAATTTCGACATGAAAGATATGGGTTTGGCTGATGTTATTCTTGGAATAAAAATTATCAGGACCCATGATGGAATTGTCTTGTTACAATCTCATTATGTAGAGAAAGTGCTCAAGAAATTTGATGCCTATGACGGTGCACAGTCTATGCGTATGTGTAAGACACCCCTTGATCTCAGTATAAATCTGAAAGCCAATAAAGGTCATCCAGTGGCTCAGTTGGAATATTCACGGATAATAGGGAGTCTGATGTACTTGACGAATTGTACACGACCAGACTTAGCCTATCCGGTGAGTAAGTTGAGCAGATTTACGAGCAATCCCAGTCATGAACACTGGAATGCTTTGAGAAGGGTACTTAAGTACTTGAGTTACACCCTTGAATACGGGCTAAAATACTCGAGATATCCAGCCGTACTTGAAGGGTACTGTGATGCAAGCTGGATATCAGAATCGAGGGATTCTCACTCCACTAGCG